TTGTTAATCTACAAGAGCGATTGCTTAAAGAACATGAATTAGACTTAACTAAATGTGTAAATATGTGTAAAGCAACAGAGATGGTTTCGCGGAATTTGAAAAGTCTGACAGAAAAAAATATCAATAGTATAAATAAAGTAAAACAATCTGAAGTTAAAAGTGATCAGCAAGAAAAAAAAATACAAGTACAAGAGAGAATTGCATTTAATAAAGAAAAAAAACAATGTACCAGGTGTGGTTATATCCACGGATTCAAGTGTCCAGCGTTCGGTCAAAAATGTGCTAAATGCAAGAAATTTGGACACTATGCCAAAATGTGCAAAACAGTGCAAGTTATTAAAACAAATGAGAATGTTGATTATGTGCTGGGATCCATAAACCATAATGAAACTAAGGATAGATCACAATTCGAAACCTTGGAAATAAATGAAAGGTTAGTAGACTTTAAAATTGATACAGGTAGTGATTGTGATGTGTTACCAATAAAAATAGTAGAAAAACTTAAGTTATTACATAAAATTGATAAATCAAACTGTAATTTGTTCAATTATGATGGAACTCCGCTAAAATGCAGTGGAAAAATTAAAGTAAATTGTAAATTGGTAAATGGAAGAAATGTAATTCTTGAATTTCAAGTTATCAATATGAAAGGAATATGTCCTATTTTAGGAGATAAAACTGTAAAAAGTTTAGGGCTAATAGAGAGAAAGTACTTATATAGAATTAACAATGATAATAAATATAATAAAATTTTTGAAAAATATAAAAACAGCATATTTAATGAAAACAGTTTAGGATTATTGAAGAACTTTGAATATCATATAGAGTTAACAGATGGTAGCACAGGTAAAATTGCACCACCACGTAGCATACCTATAAAATTGCATGAACCTTTAAAGCGAGAATTGGAAAAAATGGAGCAAAATAATATTATAGAAAAAATTACTGAACCAACTGATTTTGTAAGTAATATAGTAATTGTAAGAAAACCAAATGGTAATATAAGAGTTTGCTTAGATCCAAGTAATTTAAATTCTTGTATCAAAAGAGAGCATTTCAAATTGCCCACTTTCGAAGAAGTTGCAGCTAAAATGACAGGTTCTAAAATATTTTCAAAGTTAGATGCCTCTACAGCATTTTTTCACATTAAATTATCAGAAAACAGTGCAAAACTCTGTACATTCTCAACACCTTTTGGGCGTTACTATTTTAAAAGATTACCATATGGTTTGTCATCTGCACCGGAAGTTTTCCACAGACAATATAGTGAAATATTTAGAAACATCTCTGGTTGTCAAGTTTTTATAGACGATGTGATTATTCATGCTGTAAATCAAATAGAGCATGATAAAATATTGCAACAAGTTTTAGAGAGAGCTGAACAAAATGGTATACAGTTCAATTTAAATAAATGTCAATTTGGAATTAGTGAAATTACTTATTTAGGTCACATATTAAGTGATGTGGGTATAAAACCAGATCCTAAAAAAGTTGAGTCAATATTTAATTTAGAAAAACCAAAAAATGTTAAGGAAGTACAGAGGTTGTTAGGAATGATAACATATGTGTCAAAATTTATACCAGCAATGTCACAAGTTTGTAACCCATTAAGAGAATTAGTTAAAAAAGGCAAAGATTGGCAATGGTCTAAAGAACATGAGTGTGCATTCAAGGAGTTAAAAAATATTTTAGTGTCGAAACCAGTGTTACAGTATTATGATCCGAATAAAAAATGTAAAATTTCTGTAGATGCATCAAAAGATGCTCTAGGTGCAGTATTATTACAAAATAATTTACCAGTTGCTTATGCATCAAAGTCTCTATCCAATACTCAGAAAGCTTATGCACAAATAGAAAAAGAAATGTTAGCGATAGTGTTTGGATGTTTACGTTTTCATCAATACATATATGGAAGTACAGTAGAAATAGAAAGTGACCACAAGCCTTTAGAAGTAATTTTTAAAAAACCATTATGTGAAATTCCTTTGAGATTACAGAGAATGAGGTTACAGTTACAAAAATATGATATTATTGTTAAATACAAACCTGGTAAATATTTATTGTTAGCAGATACACTGTCACGAGATGTGAGAAGTAAAAATAATGAGGATACTATTTTGGAAGAATTATATGAATCTCAAGTTTGTTTAGTAAAATGTAATTTCCCTATTTCAGATTATAAATATAATAAATTTAAAGAAGAGACTAGCAAAGATGAAGAATTAATAATTTTAAAAAAATTTATTAATGAAGGATGGCCAGATAATTTAAAAAATATTCCAGGTAATTTAAAGTCTTACTATACATGTAAAGAAGAATTATATTGCTTTGATGGATTAGTGTTAAAAAATAATTGTATTGTAGTACCTAAAAGTTTAAGACAAGATATGTTGTATAGAATTCATTATAATCATACTGGAGTTGAAAAATGTAAAAATAGAGCAAGGCAATGCCTGTACTGGCCGAATATGTCAAAAGATATTGAACAAAAAGTGTTATCGTGTAGTGTATGTGATAGATTTAAGAAAGATAATTGTAAAGAACCAATGACAGTAAGAGAAATGCCAGATAAGCCATGGTCTATGTTAGGCACGGATGTTTTTCATTACAAAAACCAAAATTATCTAATTGTGGTTGATTACTTCAGCAAATATTTAGAGGTTGTGCAATTGAGTAGTCTAACACCTGAATGTACTATTGAGGCGTTGAAATCTATTTTCTCTAGATATGGCATACCTGATAAGTTGTATTCAGATAATGGAACAAATTACTCTAACTATAAATTCAAAAACTTCTGTAGAGATTGGAATTTTATTCATATTACTAGTAGTCCATTACATGCTCAGTCTAATGGACTTGCTGAAAGACATATTCAAACAGTAAAAAATATGTTCAAAAAAGCAGATTATGAAGGTAAAGATAAATATTTAGCATTGTTAGAATACAGAGTGACACCAATTTCCAATTTAGATTTCAAAACCCCATCTGAATTGTTAATGGGAAGAATAATTCAAGGCTTGTTACCATCTATCAATTATTGTCAAAATAAAAATATACAAAGTAAATTATATGAGAATTCATACAAACAGAAACAATATTTTGATAGAAATGTTAAAAAGTTAAATGACTTAATTAAGGGTCAAAAAGTTGTAATCACTGGTGATAGGAAGTCATTGCAGTATGCAGAAGTTTTAAACAAATGTGATAGGCCTAACTCTTACAGGTTATTGACTGAAAAGGGAAATATAATAGACAGAAATAGAAAATATTTGATTGAAAGTAAGAATGAGGAGAAAATGATTGTTAATAAGGAAAACGAGATAGATATAGGAGAAAAGAATGTTGATAGTGATATAAAGAATTCTAATTTAGTAATTGAAGAAGAAATGAAAAATGAAATTAGGGAACATAATAAAGATTGTAAAAATTATAGTAGATCTGGTCGAGAAATTAGAAAACCAAATTACTTGAATGACTATGTTTAAATTAAAATAATCTTTTAAAAATAGATTACACTATTTACGACATCCTTTTCATTTTAAAAGAAAGGAGATGTAATATTATAATAATTATTATCTGTGGTCATAACTTAATGTGTAAGTCAATGACTTTAATAACTAGAGAAGCAATCCCATACAACAGACGCGCCAAAAAGCGTAGCACTTTTCCGAAATCAGGACGTAGCTTTGCAAATAATATTTATACTATATATTATATATAGATTTATTATATTTGTCTCCCTCATATCTACGATTAAACTTTAAATTAAACAAAGACAGAATATGTGCGAACGACAAAAGGAACGGAAAAATGGGTAATTGATATTGTATTGCCAGCTGTCGAAATTTTCACCCTTTGTGATGAATGAATGAATGAACGAGTAGTGTAGATATATGTATAAAATCAATTAGTAAAATACTGTAACCTTGAAAATTTCTTTGAAAAAAAAAACAATCACGAAAGTAGGCTCTGTGCATATATATCCCTTTGTTTTTCGATAAAGTCAGTGGTTAAGACAAAAAAAATTGTCAAAGTTCATAAAGCATCAAACAAAGGTTCAATTTTACGTATTTTCAAAAGTTGTATCTCGACAACTAACGAATTCCACGCATTGAAAAAATTAAACCACATTAGCATCTGTGTGCATGTATAAAAAAATTATCAACAGAATTAGCGCAGTTGCCTATACTTAAGCTGAACTATATAATTAATTATAAAAAGATATTTAGATAAATTATAGCCACGTAAAATAAAAAGAAAAGGCTCCAATATACTTGGGAAAATTGAAAGTGAATTGCAGTGGCAACACTGATAACAAAATGTCGAAATTTTATTTGTGAAAATTAAATATTTTTATTTTATAACCTAGCTTTAATTTTGTGTTTATTGCCAAAAATGTTAATGACTTAAGTGTGAAACTTAATATTCTTTCGTATTATGTGTATTTGTGAAAGAGAATCGAATTTTATCTACTGTTTTTCTTTGTTTTTGCGGAGCATTTTTTTGTACTTTCTTGGCGGGAGTTGAATGAGTAATGAAGTGAAAAACGAAAAAACTAAGACAAACGTCTTAGTTTTAGTAGCTTCAGATTTTTGGTATGAATTGCGTATCTAGACATATTAATATCATTGGTGTAAGTAGTCTATGGTGGACTCCATCTTGTTGTTGATTAGAGAGAGCCAATGTATATGTACTATGTGTGGATTGTATTTGAACAAATAATAAATATCATTGATTGTCAAGTGTTTATTTCATATAAATAACGTATAACATTATAATTATAAATAGATTCCAAATTGAGTAATAAAATCACTTGTAATATGAAAATCTGAAGCAATGAAAGCCAACAACCAAACCCGAAACCATAAAGAAATGTTCATTTTCTACATTGATCCGATGATGATCACAGATGGCGACACCATGAAACCAGCGTGCGAGCTACTCGACTACGGAGGTCGTCTATTGGGATTTCGATTAAAGAAAGTATTAATTTATGTTTTACAAATATAATTATATACTTATCAGTTACATAATTCTTATACAAATTAAACTATATTAAAGTTTCTTCGGTAGGGATACAACAACAGTTTTGACTTCTAAATACGGGTCCACAGTATGAATGCCACTGGAAGGAAAAATATTTAACATTAATTTTCAGTTATAGCTTTTAAGTCATATTTAAGACTTTTTTATCTCTTAAATATGTAGAGAAATTTAAGACACGAATAATACTGTAAAATAAACAATACAAAACTTAATTAAAAAATTATTAGAAGTACCTAATCAATATATCATATAATGAACTTAGAAATGAAATTATATATTCTTCAGTTACTTAAACATCTGTATTCAGCAAATTTTGGACTATTTTGGGTCTATATCAGATCTCTCAAGCTGTGTCCTATTTATTAGATACTGCGCTAAGTTATCAAATAAAGATGATAGATGTTCCCCAATATATCATCCTTTAGCTACAGTGAAAATTTTACGCCAAAGTTCAAATTATATTTATTTCGGATAGACAATAATAGACATTGCTACTAAACATAGTCTGTTCTTTTGGCGTATTACTTTATACAAACCGTCATTAAGTACAATGCATCAGAATAAGTGCATGAGTTATAGTATAGAGTATTTGTGAGCATCTGTATCTGTGACTGTTTATTTCTTAAATTTCAACACCATTTTGTTAAGTACTCCGTAGGTCCCATAATAAAATATAAGATTCGGTGAAAATCTAATGGAAGATTCGTCGCGTAAAATCAGAATTGATAAATACTTTAACATGAAATTCAACATTGCACGTAACCCGTTATGCGTACGTTACTGCCTTTGATACGCGCGGCGGAAGATCCGTAAGGTATGCACTGCCCTTTAAAATAAATCTAAAGAGTCAATCATGCCATTCCAAGATTTTTTTTTTGGTTAAATATAATACAGATATCATATCGACAGTCCAGAAAGAAATAAATAATAAAAAATAAATCTTAGATGAAAGTAACCTGTTATATTTGATCCAAGGATTACATTCGAATATTTTCTTGTTATTTATTTTGAAGTTGTGTTCGCTATCTTCGAAATTATTCATGAGATTTTGATGAAGTATATCGTAGAAAGAGAGGGTCCCTTCTAATACAAAAATATATATACGTAACGCATTGACTTACAAACTAAGAGGCTGACGAACGTCTCTTTTTGAGGATATTATTCATACAATACAATTTCATCATCATCATCATCATCATCATCATCAGCCGGAAGACGTCCACTGCTGAACATAGGCCTCCCCCTTTGAACGCCACGACGGACGACATTGCGCCAGCTGCATCCAGCGGCCGCCCGCGACTCGGACGATGTCGTCCGTCCATCTAGTCGGGGGTCGACCCACGCTGCGTCTTCCGGTTCGTGGTCTCCACTCGAGAACCTTTCGTCCCCATCGGTTATCGGTTCGTCGAGCGATGTGGCCTGCCCACTGCCAATTCAGCTTACAAACTTTGCGAGCTATGTCGGTCACTCTAGATCTTTGGCGAATATCCAACTTCAGTATTGACTAACCACCATAGTGGGAGTTCTTATTCATTTTACCAAGCATTTGACACTTGATATTTTAAGTAAAATTAATATAAGGCCTATTTCTCTAATTTTAAAATCAATCACAATGCCATTCAATTTGACATTTTTAAGATATTCACGAACTTCACGCAACTATTCGATATGTGATAGCGATTGCAATCGTGACGTTTTTTTAAAGATTATTAAATGAACGATATAGTTAATTTAACGGTAATTAGGTAACGTTAGAAGTAAATATTACTTTATCAGCAAGTTGCACAAACGTGCATTAAAAGTATCATTAGTTTTAAGTGACAATACCCATACAAATTTGACAAATTAGAGCTTAAAGGCGTTACAACTTAATGGGCGTTTGTGCAACTAACCGAAAGTTATAAAGCTTTTATTATTTCTCTTTATCATTCAAATCATCATATGTTCCAAAAACCGCTATCACAATCGGTATAATTTTGGAATTGTTATAGATTCGCAGATCTTTCAGGAACCCTTCTGATTGCGGCATTTTTGTCTGCCATAAGATAAATCGTTCAAGACATTATAGCTTAAATATGCACCTATACTTTTGTTCGATACAGGTACCCGTTTTACAAAACGTTTTTTTATAGTTAATAGGTATTATCATTTTTGATGGTTGTTTCTGTATCTGTGACTAAATTTATAAAATGTTCGTGAAGAAATAAAAACCAAAAAATGTAAGTTAAATGAAATGTAAATATTATTGGTATATATATGCAGTAAATATAATTAAATAAAAAAAACATTTATTACCTCGTAATATCTCAATACCTATATCTACGCAGGTGGCCAGTTAATAAACTAAATGCTATACTCACTTTTCACGTCCGATGCCAGATTCTTTGAAACCACCAAACGGCACTTGTGATCCACCAACCAAATATGTGTTCACCCTATAAACAGATACATTAAAAAATAAAACAAACTCATCATTAATGTAATTGCTACGCAAAAGCGAAAAAAAAAATAGAACCAACTTCAAATTTTAAAAAAGTCAAAACTTCAGGTGAAAAATCGAGCGGAGGTCATCGCGCCTGACTTCAAGAGCATTTCTTGAATAAGTCGCTTTTGATATAAGTATTATTTTTCACTTTTTTAAGTTTGAAGTCTGTTCTACTTTTTTTTAGTTTTATTATTTGGTTTTTACTAATATTTATATTTTTTATATAATAGGTAACCCTAAAATACTTTTCTGAAAACCGCGTCGAAATCGGCTCAGTCAAACGCGAGATAATCGCTCACAAACATACATACAAACAGGGCAAACAGAGAACCTCCTTTTTTGAAGTCGGTTAAAATAATAAACCGATACCAAAAAATCTTAATTATTATTATATCCCAACAATTTTGCATTAATATTTTCTATTTTCTTCCATCTCGTACAACAGTACAGTAAAAGAAATGTTAAGACTTAAACCTTAGAATGACTTACCAAACAGTTCCGGCTTCTACGTGTTTCGAGAATTGTAAAGCGGTATTGAGACTGGTGGTGAAGACACCAGCAGCCAGACCATAGTTGGTATTGTTCGCACGGTCAATCACCTCTTCCAGGGTGTCAAATTTCAGAATGCTTTGCACGGGGCCGAAAATCTGACAAATGCATATTAAACAAGTCTATTATTCTGAGTAGCTAGTAAGCACGTTCAGTCTGCGATGTAGAAGTTAAGCTGCTTTCGCAAAGGTCATAGAATGGGTGACCATAAAATTATTATGTCCAGTTTCTCCGTGTTTCGGAAGGCACGTTACAGCCGTTGGTCCTGGCTTCATCTGCAGTCGTCAACACCTACCAATAAATATTAGAATCGAATCGTAGAGGGAGAATGGGATGAAGTCTCACTCTTCGATCCGATTCTATAGATACGGAACATCTGTGTCCCAGCAGTGGGGATATTAATAACCTGATGATTCATTCTTGTTGCTGCTAGGAAATGTCTCTCAAGCTTTTGAAGGTATTATTTTTTTTTGTAAAAACACTTTTAAAGGCGGAATTTTCTGTATTTTATTAATAATTAAGTGATAGCCGCCCGCCCACTTCAATAGCAGTTCCATGAATAAATCGCTTTTACAATAAGTATCACTTTTGAAAATAAGTTTTTACTTTTTAAAAAAGTTTTTATCTCACGCTTTATACTGATATTAACATTTTAATTATATGGTAATGCTATTGAATTTCTATATAATTGTTTGTTAACATAATGAAAGTCTTAAGTCGCTTTTATTAAAACAAAATTATTTTACACTTTTATTGATAATGGATTGTTTTTTATTATAATGGGTAATAATAAAAATGTTAAATACCTATCTATATAAAATATGTCAACATTGTGAAAGTTTTAAGAAAGCAGTTTTTTTTATTTGCTCGGCATATTATACATATCTATCTACAAATAAAAGAATGACAATCTGCAAAAAATATGTTAATATTTAATTTTATAGGAATTTTTTAGATTGTTTAATAGATTATATTATGCCAATATAATTAAACGAAATAAATTCCACTCAGATAATAAAAGTACTAATAGACAAACCTCTTCCTTAGCGATGGTCATGTCATCATTAACATCTGCGAAAACAGTAGGTTCAATATAGTAGCCAGTGGTACCGATCCTGTTACCTCCTGTCAAGAGCTTAGCACCTTCTTTTTTGCCCTTCTCTATGTAACCCAGAACTTTATTCATCATTTCCTCGTCGATCTAAAGACAATAAGAATATAACTAAGATAGCCGCTCTTCTAGTGACTTTAAAATGTGAATGTGAAAGCCAGGAAGTGCTATGTGACTTAAATAACAGAACCATATTCTACAGAGTTGCCATTAATGCCTATTCATACCATCTATGGCTTTTGAAGAACCAGGATAGATCAATGAAAGCAAAAGTATGCAATATTACTAAAGTTCTTAGCTAAAACAGTTTTCTAATGTGTTTTATAATCAGTAAATCACTTGTTATTTCACATCGGTCTCTCATCAAGGTAGGATGACAAAGAAACATTTCATATTAAAGTGTAATTAATTGAGTAATTATCAGGGAACGGAAAATTTAGCCTCACTAAATATAAATAAAATAATAGAATTACATATAATTATTACTAGTATGCTCAAAAATTTTCACCTGGGGACCATTCTGAGTCGAATCATCGGTTGGACTGCCGACTTTGATGGTCTTTGCGTAATTCACAGCTGCTTCGACGAATTTATCATATATTTCTGATTGCACGTACAATCGAGATGCTGCAACGCATATCTGACCCTGGTGGAAGAATATGCCATTTGCTGCATAAGGTACGGCAATGTTCACTGGAAAAACAATTTTATATTTAAAATCATTAGCATTATGATTATAACTACTTAATTTGGTTACATAACTTTTTAATATGGTTCTATGGTCTAAATTTAAAAACTACAATCCCTACAGGTATTAATGGAATTATATAGCTTTTAAAGTTGCAAACGCTTTTGGAACAAATGATGATTTGAATGATAAAGATACTTAACGGAAACTTAATTATCTACTTAAGAAAAGATTAGCTTTCAACTCTTTCGTTTGTCATTTCTCATTAATTTTAAATTATATTTACGTCTAACTATTTATACTATTCTAATTAATGTCAAATTAATGATATCGTGCATTCAAAGTCAAATTATAATGGATTACGATAAATAATGAAAATATACAATTAGGTCTCTGGTAAAAGTTAAACATTAAAACACCCGGATTCTGAATTGAGAATTGAATGTTAAAAACGTCTCGAACTTATAATCAGTAATAGAAGAGATTATACGAAAAATTGCGTCCACTCACGGTCAGCGTCGTTCATAATTATAAGAGGGCTCTTGCCACCGAGTTCCAAGGTGACACGTTTGAGATTATTGGCACCAGCCGCCTGCTGAATTAGCTTACCGACCTATCAAGTTACAAAAAAAGATTGATGAAGGGGTAGAAAAAAATATTTACGTTGTATCCTTAACAATGAAGGGAAACCTTGACATTTAATGTTTAAAATAAAGAAGAAAGTTTTAATAATTTTTAGATTATAATCGAAGATATATATCGAATAAATATTTTTTTATTCAACTTAGCGAAAGCTAAGTCCATCTTAGAGTAGCAGGGACAAAGTGATTTTTTTAAGGAAAAATGCTTATAGTATATTTTTATTGTGAATGCAAAAATGATCAAATATAATAATTAGCATAAGCTTTTTTATTATACTCAATTTTTTGTGAGCTGCACAGAATAATATAATCAGTCTAGGACATCCTTTAGCTGACGAAATCGAATAGTATTGGCTAGACTTACCTCTACAGACCCCGTGAAAGAAATTTTAGCCACGTCAGGGTGGTGAGTAAGAGCGACGCCAGCTCCTTCTCCAAAACCAGGAACGACATTAACGACCCCATTCGGAATGCCAGCCTCCTTCAATAAGGCCGCCAAAGCAAGTGCCGTTAAAGGAGTTTGCTCAGCAGGCTTTACTACCACAGTACACCCTATAAAGCATTTCATATTTTCATAAACTTAATATAATTCTTACCACGTACCGCTTTAATGCACTTCTTAACACCAAAGCATTAATTTATCCAAAAGTATAGAAGAGTTGATCCTATTTCGCAATGTCAAAGTTAGTAACTACGAGAAAGTTTATTTGAATAAAACGGAATCGGGGAGACACGTTACAGAATATAAAGTACTAATATTTTTTACGAATAAGTATTTTCTGGTTTCAAAGAGATTCAAATAAATGAAAAGGAAAAAACGGATGGGAAGTCGTTGCAATCGCTATATAAGGAATAAAAAAATACCTGCAGTAAGAGCTGACACCACTTTGTTGATAAACATAAGAATGGGCACATTCCAGGGCAGAATCAGCCCACAAACACCAATTGGTTGCTTCAGAGTATAAGAAAAGGTATCACCATCTGAAAAAATTATATTACATTAACACTAATATTTATGTAGGTACTATTCAAGGCTGCGTCTTAAACTCCACTACTATTTATGTAATCGTTAAATAACCGAAATAAACAAATATGGGAGTAATTTACACCCATCAGACAACAACATCACAAAAATTGCTTAGACTCTTATTTAGGTAGGTAGCTGAGTCTTTTGTATTATAGAAATATGAAATAACGAAAGCAGGTCAATACCCAGTTACGAAACAATATAAAAAAATCATTTTCTAAATTGACCCGTCCGTGAATTGAATCCGGCACCTCAGAGATGACGACACATTAACCGGCGTGCTAACTACTCCGCAGTGGAGGTTTTCTCACTTACATATAGAAATAGATAATAATACAATGTAAAGTTTATCAGAGAGTATTAGTCCTATTAATTTCATTTTTGACGTACGACTAAGAAAAAAATATTTTCACACTTTAAAGCATTTATTAATTACTTATAGTATGTAGACCTACCTAGAGGTATAGTGTCACCCTGTATTTTGTCAGCCAAACTCGCCATATATCTGATGTGGTTGCCCGTATTCATCATAAGCATTTTAGCCGTCCTAAGGACCATGCCATTGTCATACGACTCTAACTCAGCAAGATAGTCTATGTCACGCTCGATTAACTCGGCAAACTTGAACAGTAGTCGACCGCGCCGTGAAGCGTCTAGGAGACGCCATTCAGAGTTGCGATGAAAGGCACGCTTAGCAGCTTCTACAGCTAAATCTACGTCAGCCTTGAATAAAACAAAAACTTGTCACTAATAGAATTTATTTAGACTTTATTTTAAAAGGTAGTTTTAATTAATAACAAGGACATTTTCTTAATATTTTTTTCTACATCGCTTATTCTACTTTACTCTTTTATTGTGATCATACCTCTCGTTTATTACCCATACAATACATGTTTTCCCTATTTGATTCCAACCATTGGCAAAGTCGATGTCTACCAGCCCCAGACACGAGCTTTCGCAATCCGCGAGACGGTTTTATATATTTTTTACTATATTATAGAAAAATATTGATCAATTTACGTATAGCATTAAAAATGCAAAATTGATCTAATAAAAAAATTAGGATTATAGAAATCTCTTCTACTTTTCATTTCTTATTACAACTTCATTCTTATATTATTCTTTACTTAATTATAGTATATTTTTTCTTATATCTACATTTTCCTTATCTTATATTCATTAGGCATATCGTTCATACCGCCTATTAACGACATTATTCTCTCTCTAAAATTTCATGCTAATAAAAGAAAGTTTTTTGGCTATACTACAAAATAGTTAAAGGTTAGTTTTGTAATCGGATGTCATGTTTATGTATATCAATAAAATCGAAACTCTCTGGAAAGCTATCACGAAATCTACTGAACTCAAGTATCGGATGAAAGCGGATCGGCTTAACAGGTCGTTGAAATAAAAAATCACTTATGTTAAATGTATTTTGCAAAAATAATGAAGTTAAAAATAAGCTTCAAAAATGATAAAACTACGATACTACGATTATGGGTATTGATCAGGTCAAAACATGAATATATAAAATTTTACTCAACAGAAAAAAGTTACAAAGTTACATAAAATTCACTTCGTAGTCAATTTCTTTTCGTAATTAAATTCTTTTGTTATGATGAAAATGGATAAATACATCCATTCGCTTTGTTTCGAAGGCTTTCGACTGAGAACTTTTACAATAAACGTACAATGGTTTGAGAGTATTTAATTAAAAATAGTTTTTGACGCTCTATTTCTCCCAAAAGACCATCCTATCTATCCCTTTTTATTTCATTATTTGGGTCGTTGATTTTGTCTCCTTTCCTCTTTATATGCAGACTTAATATTTATTTACTGAACTGGACCTCCTTTTTAATTACTTTATTTTGTTTATTATATGTAAAAGTACTAATTTAATAATAAAGTAAATAAATAGTGAATTTTACATGCACGACGCTATCTTAATATTAGTTACCAAATAAATCAATAAAAAAAAACCTAAGATAGTTTACAATAGAAAGACATTAAGTTAGCTTTAACAAATCAAAATTTACATAAAAAAATGTAAAAGTGTTTCAGCTGTGTAATTAAATGAAGTCTAATATTATTACTTCAATGTCTTCCTCACAAATCAATTGGGACAGATATATTTATTATTTTGTAATAATATTGCAACAAGAACTGAGTTATAAAGGGTTGTAGTTGAACCGCTATTGACTTTCCATAATTACGCTAACTTAACAGAATTGCTAACTGGTAGCCTGGTACCTCAGGGAGTTACTTTTATTGAGCATTATTTTATAAAATCAAAACTTATATACTACCTTATCGCCTTCAGCGACATTCGCGATTGGTAACCCACTGTGAGGACTGACAGTCTCAAAAGTCTTTTTGCTCTTAGCGTCCACCCACTGATTGTCGATAAAAATCTGTAATATAAAAACATAAGCCACATTAAGACAGATATAAATATTAAATATATTATAAATAATTATTAAACAAACTTTATCATATACATTGCTCGGATTCCTGTATTATGGAGTATCTGAAAAAACGAAGGTACCACAACACCCAGACCCAAGATAATATATAAAAGTTGATTTTATGCATTGACCCGACCGGAATTATAATAATTTTGCATATAAAGTCGTTACATTGATGAAATAAACCGTACTATAATAATATATCACGACTATAATCGTAGTAAATGACATGAAAGTGTTTTACTTAAAACTAGTTAACGATGAGATTAGATAAAGACCAATATCCATATTTACATGGGTCGAAGGTTCACATATTTTTGTGACATATTCTCTGGTACAGTCACCGTAGTCGGCGTCCTATCATTAGAGTTTTGAAATGTGATAATGCAAAAATGGAGAGCGATAAAGCACTAATTTCTTTTGAGAATAAATTGGATACCACTACCTATTAACTTATATAAAAATATTTGCATCGAATAGGCTCCAAAACTAGTGGACCAATCTCAAAAGTTCTTTCACCTAGGGAGCTACATAATACGCAGGTGACATAGGCTATAGTTTAGGCGAGCTAAATGGCGAAAAACGGATAGTTTAAGATATAAATCATTGATCTCTCGTTCTCTCCCAGTGTATTATGGCATTTCAAGCAAAACTAAACTGACAAGGAGCCTATACTTCAGCAAATCACACAAAACCTTTATGAATTACCTACGTTTGTTGTGGAACACCTCAACCTGCCCGTGAATTACTCGGTAGGCATGTTTATAAAAACAATTAAAATCCATGCTATTCTTGAGTTTATCGTTGTAATGTCAAATATTAACAATATTTGGAGATAATATTCGGATAGTGACAATACGATAACCATTTTTCGTATAAAATCAAAGTTCTACCAAACATTTATAAAGATTAATATTCTGTCTGCTTGATTTAAAAAAAAAACTTGTAAACAATTAAACAAGCAATATATTTGTATATAACTGATATGCTGTTGCTCCTTTTGCACACAGAATCATAAGAAAACGTTCTAATAAAAACAAATAAATGTTGTAGGTACCCAATCCAACTGTCAAAGAATAACTTCATATACTTGGAAAATCTTTTAACGATATACTAACTATAATACTCCCGCTGGGATGCACGATCTGAAACGCAAATATCTTCGAACATGAACTACTTATTTTGTCAATCGCTTATTATATTTTAGGTAACATTACAGTCGATTTCTGAACTCAAATATACAGAGTCTACCGGGTAACTTCTTAGATAAATAACTTCAGATTTATTGTGACGTCTGAACGAAATTTTTTGGTCACAGAGCGTTTTATCCATTGGTTATATAAGTAAAGCGAAATCAATTCCAGAAAACAAAACAATCCCACGCAGTAGCCACAACTGTAATTGAACGTTAATTGCATTTACACCCTGTAAAGAAAAAATCAAAAGCAAAAAGTTATTTAAAAAAAAAGTGAATAATGTCTTTTAAATCAGCTTTTATTGAAGATTTAAAAGTATAACAAATTAAAAAGATATTTATTCATAGTCATATCGTGAATAATACATTTTCCGGATAAAAAAAATCGCAAAGTCACCCCTAAATAAAAATAAAAATGGTGGAGCCATTTTTATTTCATTATTTATTTTAGCTACTATTTTAATATCTCAAATTGATTAATATAATTTTATAACTGAGGGCTTAACTAGGATTTTTTACAATAATCGTAATATTTTGTCAGTAATTTGTTAAAAAAGGTTTTTGACGAGCTATTGCACGCCGTCATCAAGCCCTATCTATCTCATTGACGGTATTTTTTCTCGTGTTCTCCTTCACCCAGCCTTAATGTCCCATAATAGATTTAAAATTATAGTCTTAATTTTATTTTGTACCTTCGTGTATTTAATTACAGGAGCCATTTCATTCACACTTGTTTCCACTGAATGAATACAACACTTGTACAATATATCAGTACAACAAAAACTAACTAAATTACCGAGTTATTTGACATATATATCGAACGTGCTTATCATTGTAGCGTTTTCATTATGTAAGGTATTGTGTACTGTAACCCAGTGATAACATAATGCTTTGTCACTGTTCAAAATCAGATTACGTAGATGGAAATAGTATGAATAACAATGATTATGTTTAAAATTACACGTTTGAGAAACAAAATTTCATATGAAAGTAGAAAACATATTCTAAGTTTTTGTAAGTATTACACCATCATCACCACCAGCCTATCATTGTCCTCAATGCTGCTATATTTCATTAATTGCGACAGTATCGTAAACAGCTCGCTAACCACTACGCCATCGAGCTACTCAACTTACAACTTAATATGTTTAAAATAAATCTAATGAAAAATTATAAACGGACGATGGGCAATTAGAAGACTTTGCAATATTATAGTTAGTGACATAGTTAATCCGATTTCGGATAAAATACGTGATATGCAATGGAAATTATCTCTTAACTGAAACAGATGGAAATCTGGAAGTCAGGCTGATATAGCGGATGTGTTATCAACGCCCAGTGAAACTCTTAAACTGCTGAGTAGCTTAAATATGTGTGACTATATGGTGGTTGGTAAAATAATAAAAAGAAACAAAAATACCTGTTTACCTACATTTTAAGTACGCAATTTTATTTGGTCGTTTCTAGTTTTATTTGAATTTTGGGATTTTTTTAAAGTCGGGTTTTTTATTTTTTTAAATATTTTTTTGGTTAATTTTACACCACCAACTGAAGTTTTTTTAAAGTCCATATAAAAACTAAGGCAACAATTATGTGTATTGGTATTATTATTTATGTTATCTATGATTACTAGACTTTTTACTTAAACAGTAAATATTATCACATATCACGAGCTCATGTTGATATTATCTAAAGATCGTGATGCATACATTAATTTAACAATGTCCATGTCCCTGGTATCCCTGGTAAAGTCCATATTCGGTTTATTTTAAGTATTCTATACAATAACTCTTTTTACCGTCAAGAAAATGCTTTAGACTAGTGGCAACGGTAGTCCCTCGCCGCATGGCAAGCGACAGGGTATATGTGGGAATCCACAAAAACTCTTCTTTGCGAATCCACAAAAACTCCTACAGTGTACCCCACATCCCCCTCAATCCCTACCCACGCATTACAAGTATAGAATATTCTATAGAATACCTAAATACCTCAGGGCTCCGGATAATGGTATGAAAAATATTATTTTTCGTTACAAACTTTGCCTAGGTAATGTTTAGAATTCCTAGGCATTCTACAGAGTATCTGCTGGTCTATTGGCAAAAACATTTACTTATAGATAATTAACTACACGATAAGTTAGAAAATTTGACCTTATTATGTCGCCGCACTTCAAAAGGAAAAATAAAATCCTTATAGGATCACTGTCTATCCGTCCGTCTGTCACATCACATTTGATTTTCTCGAAACTACTTCACCGATTGATTTGAAATTTGGGACACCCGTGTAAGTTGGCGACCCAAAGGCGATCGTGCAATGTAAATAAATGAAATTCGATCATGGAGGCATGCTCTCCAAAGGAGGTAAATAAAAATAAGTTCGCAAGGTAAAAAAAACTAAAAATAAACCCAATGCTTAGAATGTTGTTTCAAGTAATACTGAACCAATACATCATTGTCAAGATTTTTAATACTTATATTTTGTAAAAAAAATATAATTTGCCTATGTGTTGCATCGATTATAAAACTATTAATCAATGGTGTAGTTATTTAGTATTACTTAAAACTACGTTCTAAGCACTGGGTTTGATTATAAAACTATTAATCAATGGTGTAGTTGTTTAGTATTACTAAAAACTATATTCTAAGCACTGGGTTTGTTTTTTCTTTTTACTTTTTTATTTCTTGTACTTTTTAGTTTTTTACGGCATCGTGTTTTTTTTTTAATAATTATTTCTATTTTACACTTTTTAGTTAGGATTCATTGAGTGAGTTAATATAGTGGAGATTATTTAGTAACTTGCGGTAGTTTATGTTACTGATTATTAATCCTTCTGGAGACCTGACTCTGTAAAAATCTACATATGCTTGACCTTTAGCAAAAATACGTGAACTTAGGTCAGCTACAGCTCGGTCCAAAGTAGTTCCTTGGAGCTAGTGTACAGTTACACCCCGGCACAATATCAATGGCAACGTTTTTCTCTCTATTTTGCCATGTCCACAAACTGCATCGATTTAATCGTCGTTGGTTCGATTCTGACTCCTATCCCAGGAACATTCTTTTTAATCGCTTTATCATCAAATTCTATATAAACAGCCCGTGGCAATTCTGCGGGTTCCATTTCATCCCTCTTGTAAGGTAGATACGAAATAAAAATAAAATCAGTTATCAAGAGACCTCTGTGCTTTATTAACGTCCCACATAACATGGCGCAGTCAGTTCAAATATAAGTGAAAATATTACATGTATAAATAATAGTGAATAGTTATACATAATTAAAATCGTGGAGACTGTGTTATCGCCGCCTAAACCGTTTTATTTTGATCATGGTTTAATGAATATAACATCTGCAAATTTAATCAAAAGCTGGAATAAATGGAGGAAGGGACTGAAAATATATTTTGATGCTTGCGAACTGGGAAAAAGACGGCAGACACTCAAATAAATGTATTACTTCACATTGTGTTTGAGCAGTGCAAAGAGCTGTACGAACACTTTAAAGTGAAATCTAAAACAGTGGGTGATTTCTTAACCCAATTTACACAACATTAGAACTAAGAAAAATATGACAGTGGAAAGACATAAGTTTTTTACGAGAAATCAGATTGAAAATGAAATTATTGAACAATATATTTATGATTTGAATAAATGACGACTACGTGTGAAAATGGACCATTGTGCGATTCATTAATTAAAGATCGTTTGATTTGCGACATAAGAAATGTGGTATACGAGAACGACTGTTACGTGAAGTGGACCTGACACTAGAAAAAGTATTGTCTCTAAAGTTCACTCGGAGAATTAGAATATACAAAATAAAATAAAAATCAGTGTCCGGCGTATGGCAAACAGTGTTTACGGTGATCACGTATGAATCATTATGGTCGAATGTGTGGAATGCATTCTATAGTAGAATCGTAAGATCAGGTAATCTATAGTTTAGTTTATAATGTTAACGATAATTGGTCTATTGTTTTATACATTAATGGTAGGTATTACTTACGTTTTACGTACGTTTGACTTACGTTTTAAGATGGATACGGGGGCTGATGTCAATGTATTGCCACTACGATACATCAAGAGATTAGGTTTAAGTAAAACCGAACTATTAACTATGAGTACTAAATTACATGAATGTCCCAGAGCAGCTATGAATTTGATAGGTAAATGTTATCGTAAGGTGAATTTCAGAAGCAATATTCATATTTTAGAATTTAAAATTATGAATGTAGATTCGACTCCAATTCTAGGTATATATTCATGTGAGCAACTAAATTTGATAAAAAGAATACAAAAATTTGAAGGCCCTACAGACTGGGTGAATAGTATTACAATAGTTAAAAAGCCAAATGGTGATTTAAAGATTTGTCTTGATCTAAAAGAACTTAATTTAGTAATAAAACGTGAATATTTTAGGTTACCTACCGTTAATGAAATCTTAGCTAAACTGTCAGGGGCAACTATTTTTAGTACCCTTAACGCAAAAAATGGATTTTGGCAATGTCAGTTACATGAAAATAGTTCAGAGTACTGTACCTTTAAGGTAGGTATGAATTCCTAAGATTACCTTATGGTATTTGTTCAGCTAGTGAAATTTTTCACAGAAAAGTTTATAAAAACATTGATGACGTACAAGGTGTGTCTTAATATATGCGAAAAATAAGTCGCAACACGACAAAATACTAGAATAGGTTCTAGAAAGGTGTCGTAAAATAAATTTAAAATTAAATTTAAATAAATATAAATTTTGTGTAGAGGAACTCAGGTATCTTGAACATAAGATAACGAAAAATGAAGTTTACCCTCATGATAGTCATTTAATCATCAAGATCAAGATTAAAACTATATGATTGAATAGAGTATATTATTTGATTTGCATTTTTACATGATTGTTTTGTTCGAATTAGAAAATCCTTATCAATAATATAATTTTTGCCTGATCATTATCTTCCCTAAATAAATGTGTCAATAATAGGTTTTCACAGATTATATATTACTGTTACCAGGCGATTATTTATTACTGTTATTGTGAAATTTGCGTGCGTACTGATATCACCATTGTTTCATATTTATTTTCATATTTTTAAAGAAGGAAGATGTAAGGTAGATACGAAATAAAAATAAAGTCAGTTATCAAGAGACCTCTGTGCTTCATTAACGTCCCACATACCATGGGGCGGACCACTAAATTTTCCTTATAACCTATTGCTTGTTGAGGGAGACCTTCTTGGTTTTAGATCTTTTTAATTTTAATTTAAATATTGACAATCTGTTCTGCACATGCGCGTCTATTGTTTATATATCGACGCTGGAAAGGCAAAATGTATTAAGCGCCACTTTGGTCGAATATGAGTTATATATATCGTTGGAATCGCCTGATTTTTCTCTTTCGAATAGTCTAGGTAGCGACTTAATCTGAGCACTTTCATGGTGGTTAATACACCGGTGATTTTCGACTTTTTCGTATATTTTTTTGTATTAAATCCATTCATTTTTTGACATTGGTTCATAAAGCGTACATGATAGTAACAAACTATTGATAAGTCATTTATACCTGCTTAAGCTTACAAATAGATTTTTTTTCAAACTCTTTACCTTTCCATTTTTCAAAAAAATAACGCTTTAAAACATTTTATAGATTGGCAATTATTTTAAAATCTAAACATAAGTCAATTTCCTTGTAAATAAAATATATGGTTTTGTCGTTTAAAACATTTTACTTTTCTGCATGTTACAATTATTTGGACATTAAAACAATTTTATTGAAAACATTTAATACTAAAATGGTCGAT